CTCTCACATGCACACACACACACACACTCACACACACACACCCACACACACACACGTAATATCATAAAAATATACAACTATCAATATGTTTTACTAAATATAAACATCATGATAGTTGTATATTTTTCATGATATTTGTGTATTTTATATATTAAAATATCATGATTTTATTATCATATATTTTTATTTATTTAAATATGTTGGTATAAAATGATATAGCTGAATATTTTTCATAATATTATTATATTTTTATATGTTAAAATATATTGATATTTGTATATTTTTTTCATATTATATTTGTATATATTAAAGTATTTTGATAATTATATATTTTTATATTTAACATATACAGACATACAAATATAATATCAGAAAGTATACAACTATCATCATATTTTAACATATAAATATATACAAATATAATATCATGATAGTTGTATATTTTTCATTATATAATATTTTTCTATATTTTATGTGTTAATATATCTTGATAGTTGTGTATTATGATATTATATTTGTCTATGTATATATGTTAATATATCATGATAGTTGTATATTTATATTATATATGTATTTGTATATTTATATATTTGCATATTTTTTATTTTTTTCATAGTAGTTGTTTATTTTATGATAATATTTTTAGATATGTTAATATATCATACATTTTATGATATTATATGTTATAAAAGATGTACTGTATATATAAAAGATGGTTGCATAATGCCTGAATGGTGTTTTTGTGTGAGTATATTCTAAATATCTAAATAATCTAAATAGACACAAAAACGTGGACTGGATCAAACTAAACTGGGTTGTAGAGGAATGAATGGCATTGACGGACCATTACATTTAAATTTTTAATGCTTTGAATCTGTGATAGGAAATGACTTGCACAGTGATATTTGCATGAATGCTTTTATCCAGAGCGATGTGTTTTTTCAAACTTCTGATGATGGTGTGTGTGTTTGGTGCAGGTCTGGCCCGTGCGAAGTCAGTCCCCAGTCACACGTACTCTAATGAGGTGGTGACGCTCTGGTATCGTCCTCCAGACGTGCTGCTGGGATCCACAGACTACTCCACCTGTCTGGACATGTGGTGAGTCTACAGCACTGCGGTCTGCATCCATCACACCCAAAACCACTCCTCTGCTCCCACACTGCAACTTCACATCACACTGTGTAGTGCACTTAAAAGATCACATCCGTGCAACTCACGGCTGCACTGCAAAAAAGTCTCTGTATTTTTTTTGCAGTTCAAATATTTAAACATCCTCAAAATAAAACCTGAAAAACAAAATGATCTGTATTTTCACAGACCTATGTTTTGCAGATCATGCACTATGATGATGAGAAAATGTTTTTATAAATATATATGCACTGCTGTTCAAAAGTTTGGGATCAGTAAGATTTGTAATGTGTTTAAAAGAAGTCTCTTCTGTTCATCAAGGCTGCATTTATTTGATCAAAAATACAGAAAAAACAGTAATATTGTGAAATATTATTACCATTTAAAATAACTGTTTTCTATTTTAATATACTTTAAACTGTAATTTATTTCTGTGATCAAAGCTGTATTTTCAGCATCATTACTCCAGTCTTCAGTGTCACATGATCTTCAGAAATCATTCTAATATGCTGATTTGCTGCTCAAGAAACATTTCTGATTATTATCAATGTTGAAAACTGTTTTTGCGGCTTCATATTTTTTATAATTTTTGTGGAATCTGTGATACTTTTTTCAGGATTCTTTGATGAATAAAAAGTTTAAAAGAACAGCATTTATTCAAAATAGAAATATTTTGTAATAATATAAGTCTTTATTATAACTTTTTATTTATTTAACACATCCTTGCTGAATAAAAGTATTGATTTCTTTCAAAAAAAAAGAAGAAAAAAAATAGAAATCAGTATAATATGCTGAGAAACATTTCTGATTATTATCAATGTTGAAAACTGTTTTTGCGGCTTCATATTTTTTTGTATTTTTTTTGGACTACTCCATGAATAAAAAGTTAAAAAGAACAGCATTTATTCAAAATAGAAATATTTTGTAATAATATAAGTCTTTATTATGACTTTTTATTTATTTAACACATCCTTGCTGAATAAAAGTATTGATTTCTTTCAAAAAAAAAGAAGAAAAAAAATATCTGCTGACCCCAAACTTTTGAACGGTAGTGTATATTATTACAAAAGATTTCTATTTTAAATAAATGCTGTTCTTTTGAACTTTTTATTCATCAAAGAATCCTGAAAAAAGTATCACAGATTCCACAAAAATATTAAGCAGCAAAAACTTTCCAACATTAATAATAAATTATATATCAATAAGGATCATGTGACACTGAAGACTGGAGTACTGATGCTGAAAATTCAGCTTTGAGTCACAGGAATGAATTATATTTTAAAGTATATTAAAATAAAAAAACGGTTATTTTAAATTGCAATAATATCTCACAATTTTACAGTATTTTCTGTATTTTTGATCAAATAAATGCAGCCTTGGTGAACAGAAGAGACTTCTTTAAAAAACATTAAACATCTTACTGATCCCAAACTTTTGAACAGCAGTATATATATATATATATTATTATTATTATTATTATTGTTATTTTTATTTTTTTTATTAAAATATCTGAACATCCTTCAAGCAAAACCCGAGAAACAGAGAAACAAAATAACACAAGATGTTTTCAGAGAAATTGGAAACTATTTAATGAGGTTGATGCACTATAACATTGGGATGATAATTTTTTATATTTATTTATTTATTTATAAACATCCTTTAAATTAAACCCGAGAAGAAAAATGACACAAGATTATTTTCAGAGAAATAAAAAAACTTTAAAGGGTTAGTTCACCCAAAAATGAAAATTAGCCCATAAATTACTCACCCTCAAGTCATCCTAGGTGTATATGACTTTCTTCTTCAGATGAATCCAGTCGGAGTTATGTTAACAATTATCTTTCAAGCTGTTTAATGCCACTCCGCGGGTGTTGCATGCTTCAGTCCAAAAGAAGTGAAATAAAAAGCGCCCATCCATAAAAAAAGTGTCTAAGGGCTCCAGGGGGTGAACAAAGGCCTCCTGTAGCGAATCGATGTGTTTTTGTAAGAAAAATATCCATATTCAAAACGTAATAATCACTTTAATGTAGTTTGCGCTCACGGTTATAAACGGAAGCAGCTGCGGGAGCATGACGTATGAGGTCAGTGCTGTGCATGCGCCGCTCAGAAGTGACGAACGCGGAAGCGCAGCGGAGAGATCAAAACAAAACAACGGTCACTAATTAGAAGTACAAAACGAGGATTTGTAAAGAAGAATGTCAGAGGATTTCGATATAAGCCAAGAGGA